GCAGTGAAGTGTCTGTCTTCTGCACGCATGATGGTTCCTAGTTGGTGCACAGTGAGAAGAAGTGTGGATTATGATTCTCTGAGGAACAATGCAATAAAGAGAGGAAGAACAGCACTCCCCCTGCAAGCAGCAATTTACTGGTGTAATGTTCCTTTAAGGCACTAGTCACTAGTGAATCTAAAGCAACAAGAGGCTAAGCTGGTAAAAGTGATTGTTGGCACAGGGCAACTCTTCTCTGGACCACAAGACTATTGGTGTGACGATTGTGTGCCATAGAGACATGGACGCTGTACATGACAGCCATCTTGTTAGGTCTCAGCCATGTTCTCTCCTGTCCTCCCTCCTCCCTTTTCAATGGAATGCATAGCTATAAGTTGAAACGGAGGTCAAAAGGATCTCTTATCCTAAATAAAACACAGATAGATCAGCTCCAGGGCTGTAAACCACTAATTAGTCTGGTTCCAGGGGGTCTGCTTGAAAACCACTTTCCTCTGTCCGATCGTAAAACAATAACTCAGACAGTCATTACCTGTTAGGCCATTAGGGCTAGAACGTGCCATAAAACCTACATTCCACATGAGTAATTTTTCATACAATTCAGAAACTTCAGCAGGAACTGGGCACATTAATATGAAGTATATATTTAGATAGATCATTTTAATATGAGTCACACACAAGACCTTACATCACTATATTAGTACCTACAAGAGAGAACAAACAGTCTCTTTTATCCTGAGCGACAAGGGTACCCTATGTTTGGTATCTTTGCGTTTGGAATATAATTCTAAATATTAATCTGCCAGTTGCTAGGATGCTACCTGTACCTATTGAAGGTTATTGACCTTAGTATGAAATTGTAAGGGATTTGGTCATAACCTTGGTTACCGCCTAACACCCATCCCCAAACTGGATGATTGGTCATTTGTTCTCAGGAGACACCCCTTTGATATGATAGAAAAAGATTGACAGCCTGGAGAAAGACAGCTCTTGTTTAACATCAATCACGAACCATCTAAGAGACTTGAGAGCCAAGGCAACCTTTTTGTTCGGACAATTGGACTCTGCTAAAACCAAGGGAATGCAATTATTCTGCCTTCTGAACTCCTCTCTTTTATTTCTCTGTTGTTTTATTGCTCTCTTTATATCTTTGTTACATCTTTTTCTGTAAATATTTTAATTGCACCATTTTGACCTTTTTAGTAATAAATCCTATTTTGAAAAGTGTTGAAACTGTCTCTAAAGCTTTTAATGCAAACTAAAGAATCCCTGTCTCTTGAAGAGTGCTACTGTATGTAATAATCCTCTGAATATATCTGTCTGCGGTGACAGTGTGTATTACAGACGCTTGTACTAATATCATAGTGTTACTGCTAAGATTTGTGAGTTTCCTCCTTCTCTGTAAAAAGGTAGTGGTGGCATCGTGAAGGGTTAATTGCGTAATTAACTTGACCCAGTAACAATTTCTCTCAGGCTGCTGGCACATAGATTGTAATCCCGCGTGTAGCAATTGTACATACAAATATGGACGCGAACATACATTTTGCTAAAAACCCTCCATCTTGTGTCATTCTCACTCCAAAATCAATAACCCTCCCTTTCTGTTGAGTGGCCGGTGGTCTGTGTGTGTGCTCAGTTCAGGAGGGCACAGCTGGATACGCTTCATGGTTATAAACCCAATTAGTCTGCCAGACTCTTGCTTTGAGCTGATCGTAAAGCTATAAACCCATCAGTCACTGGACTTGAAAAGCATTCCGAAATAGCAGTAAAACATATCTCATTTGGGAAACCACTTTTTCATACACTTTCATAACTTCTCATAGGAAATACATACAATAACACAAAACATATATTCAGATTGGTCAGTTTACTGCGAGTCACCTGATACCATACACCCCTAGATTACATCTACCCAAGAGCAGAAAGCGATATCTCCTTAACCGTCCCAAGCAGATATGTCATATCTGGTACCCGGACATTCAGAATATCATTCTGCATATTATCCTACCAGTGGATAGGATGCTACATGTACCTATGGAAGGTTATTGACCATGATATAAACTGCAAGGAATTTGGTCATAGCCAGAGTTCCCTGCCTAAACACCCCTCCCCAAATGAGGCGATTGGTTCTTTGCTTTAAGGAGACACCCTGCTGGGTTCCTAAAAAAAAGGCTGTTATGCTGGGGAAGGAGGATGAAGAGATTTCTCCCGTTTAACATCAGGGACCAACTTTGGCAGAGTACCCTTTTGCTCAGGACCCTTGAATCTGCTTAAACTTCTTTCTGTTATCTCTCTGCTGTGTTTTTGCTCTCTGTATTTTTATATATATATATATATATATATATATTGGCTACATCTTTTTCTGTAAATATTTTTATTGCACCATTTTGACCTTTTTAAGTTGGTGAGAAGGGCTGGCGGTCTGACACCGCGCCCGTCACACCGCGAGCTGGAAAATCTTTGTGCAGGGCACAGCTGAGAGTGGCATTGTTACACAAGTGACAGCATGGTGCAAGATCGGCTGATCCAAGTTCGGTCACAATTGGTGAGAAAGTGTAGAGTGAATTGATGATGATGATGACACAGCAGTGGTTCAGCCTGTGGACTGACTGTCCTGCTTCCAGCTTTGATGAAGGCTGTGCTAAGTGTGGTCAGACAATAGTGGCTGAAGGAACTAGGCCGCAACTTCTAACAACTATGTGCAGTACCATGACTGTGTGCAGGAAAAAGCAAAGTTGGAGCAAGAGTCAGCGTTCCCTGTCCTTGATAATGCTTGGAACTCTCTCACCCCCGAGGAATGGCATCTGCTGAGCACTGGCAGTCTCTCTCTCCTCGATAAGGCCTCCTCACACTCCCTGGTCCCACCTGCAGCATTCCATCCCATCACCTGCTAGCAGATTAGCCTTCTCCATGGTGCAGCAAGGTCAGCGATCAGCAGACTCTCCTTGACTCCTCTCTCTCTCTTTCTCTCTCTCTCCACAGCTTGGTCTGGCCCTCGCACAGTCAGCACAATCCCTCCCCAGATCACTCCCCTCTCACGGTCTGTCTCATCTCCCGAGCTTTCTTGTATATACGCCTCCATCCACACTCCATCTCCTCTGGGAAATGTAGTTCTTTTCTACACTATTCCTTAGCAAAGTCCTGGGGCTCAGCATACAATTTCCATGGGGTGCTCTACAGAGTGTCAAATGCCACTGTTCTGCAGGACACTGCCATCTTGTGTTCATTTTAACATCCTGCATCAACACATGTAGCAGGGTGTCACACACGGTTACAGCAATTCAACAGCACAACCAAAACCAGGGGGGGGGCTCCCCTGACTGGGAACGCTCACAGAACTGCAGTGTAGTGACAGTGGTGTATCAAGAGCATCTGCCACAAGGAGCAAAGTGCAGCCTGCCAGGTCCATCCCAAAGGGGAAGCCTCCTGAGAAGGTAGACGTAGTCCCTGCTCTTTGCCTAATGCTAGCATTGTCCCTGCTAGACAGGGAACCTGTCCCTACTCTAGCCACTCGCATAAAGCGAGCCAGTCTTAAATACACTGCTTGACCCAAGATGGCCGCCAGGGTCATATGAGACCAAAGCATCCAACTGCATCACTGTCTCGTGTGACAGAGGAAGTTATAAAGAAACCCAGTTTCCCTCCACTTGTTCTCCCCTCTACATTGCCGTTATGGTCTAGCGCCACATGCAATGGAGAATACAGACTGTACCTGACTACAAACTAACCTCTGTAAAAAAGAAGTATATACTTCAGGCTGCTTTGGTTAAGACCCATAGTCTTCTATGACCCATCCGTTGTTGGTACTCCCTCTTCTCATCTGAAGCTGGCACTAGCAGAGGGGAGCCAGATCGTGTTACTGTACTAGACTGGGTTGAAAATAGGCAAATATATAAATCTTTCTTGCTGAGGATAGTCAGCATACTGTAAGTATTAGGAGTGGGGAGGGAGCATTTTTAAAGGCTAAGTTCACCTTTTAAAAAACTATTAAATGCACATAAATGTTGAAAAACAATTTTCATTTATTATCCTTTTTTTCAGGAGCCTGCAGAGCATTGCACCCACAATTAGCAGATTACAGGTGCAATGTCAGACTACTACAGACATTGCCCTACAGCTTTCAGCCTGTACCTCTATACATGCTTTCTGTTTGAAAGCTGGAGGAAGTGTCAACTACAAGAGACCTTACCAGTGCCCTTGCAGTTCATTGAAAACCACAATCTGTCTGCAGTTGTGGTTCATTCATTTACAATACCCACACTAAATATGGGTGCAACATGTAACGCATTACTAATGATAAGATTATCCTTTAAGATATGTGTAGCCTGGAATTCCACTTGAATGAGGCAGAGAATGACTCATCCACTCCTCTCCCAACTTGAGTGCCATTTCAGACTTTGGAGGGTAAAAACCATAATGCCCTGTGAATCTTGTGTCTTGATGCTCACTGTATTAAATATTTCTTTTTATAAAATTAAAGCCAAGTTCCAGCTTGGGAAAGACATAAACAGCCAAATTAGTCCCCAGCACCTTTTTAAAATAAAAACACAGCTTCAGCTGTAATTAGGGTTGCCATCTCATCCCTTTAAAACTGAACCTATATTGATTACACAGGAACTGAGGCTAATTTAATGCAGATATGGCACTAGGTGAGTTTAATTACCACCTTAATTAGCCACAGAACCTGTGTAATTAATATGTGTTCAGTTTTAAAGGGATGAGGTGGCAACCCTAGCGGCAATACTGATCTCCTCTCTGGCACTGTCCCAACAAACTCACCTACTTAGGGAACAAGAGCTAGTTTTCTCTTCCAGGTTGAATGACACCCAGAAATATTTCACTCACTTTCTGTAAACCCAGGGTGCCAAGGTCCCCCCAGCCCTATAATCACAGAAGAATGCTGCAGAGAGCAGAGGTACATTTAATATCATGAATCAGCAACATCATTAGGCTTTACCTTGCTATATTTAAAGATGGGTGTTTTTACTAAAACCATGTGCACACAATCAGGGGCGGACTGACCATTTGGAAACTTGGGCACTGCCCGAGGGCCCGGGGTCAGTAGGGGGCCCCATGAGATGCCCCTGGTACCTTTTCATAGGCTTTTTTGAGTTTGGGCAAGGACACAGGGGCCCCATGATCCCCTATTGCCAGGGGCCCCATGAGTTGTCAGTCCGCCCCTGCACACAATATTGGTAGGAGATTAGTTCCCTGTCAGGTCTGTCCATGTTTTTCTTACAGTGAAACTGTGACCAGATTATTAAAGTATTTTTAGGGTTGCCACCTCATCCCTTTAAAACCAAACACTTATTAATTACACAGGTTCTGAGGCTAATTTAATGCAGATAAGGCACTAAGTGAGTTTAATTGCCACCATAATCAGCCACAGAACCTGTGTAATTAATATGTGTTTGGTTTTAAAGGATCAGGTGGCAACCCAAAAGTATTTTCAGATTATAAACAAGCAGTAAAAGCACTTTAATACCTTCCCATTTGGCCTATAGCAGATTGAAGGCCGAGCGGGACACTCGCCAATGTGACTGAGCATCATATGACGTTCTGTCAAAAACGAGCCTCTCATGCGGCCACGGGGACGCAGCACGATCTGTCACTGACTGTGTCCACGGGACACAGCCGATGACATATCACTACACCGGCCCGTTGCCAGTGTCATGTGACCGCTGTTACCAATCACAGCAGATCAAATGTCAATTGTATACAATGGATCGCTTCCTGCCATGCCATTCATTGTATACAATTATGTTGTTAGCTGTGACTGTTCAAGGCAGTCACATGATACAGACAGGGCCAATCAAAGCCCACCTGTATCATGTGATCAGCTTTGCCCAATCACAGCTAATCACAACAAAAGACTGAATGAATCAGTTTCATTCAGTAACAATGATTGCAAATATCAATTAAATACATTGGTATTAACAATCATAATGTTTTAAAAAAAAAAAATTCTGATAATTTCGCCAGAGTAGTTCAATGTTACTATGGTAACATTATACTGCTTTGGTCACAGTGTGCTGAAAAATAAAATAGTAAAAAAAAGAAAAAAATTTAGAAAATTAAAACAAAATAGAAACATTTGAAAAAAAAATACAAATTCAATTATTATTATTATTTCCACCAACGAAATGTAGCAGAATACATTTTTACCTAAATTTATGAAGAAATTGTATTTATTTTCAAAATGTTATAACAGAAACAAAGAAAAGTGCGTTTTTTTCAAATGTTTCGGGTGCTTTTTGTTTTATTTAGCAAAAAATAAAAAACTCAGTGGTGATTAAATACCACCAAAAGAAATCTCTATTTGTGTGAAAAATGTTTAAACATTTCATATGGGTACAGTGTTGCATGACCGCGCAATTGTCATCCAAAGTGCGACAGCACTGAAAGCTGAAAATTGGCTTGGGCAGTCATTAATGACCATGGTGCTGCAAGAAACAGAATAAATCTGCAGGTGTGGTGAGCAGTAACCTGTACAAATCAATGACAGGCTGACATGTGCCACAGGCCAATGTAAGATTAGCTACAGTCCTGTCAGCATTGGGGCCCGTTAACTTTCAGGCCCCTTAACTCTGAGAGCATTTGTAATTCACAGAGTAAAGTGAATACAATCCCTTTTGCAGAACTCCTCACAACTGCAAATAGTAGCAAACACCAGCCAATTAAACACACAGTGGTTGGCATTAGGCTTCTCACCACCCTGAGGCACTGGGGATGCCTTTCTAGGGAATCCTTCCTTGATGGATGTTCCTACAAATAGGATAGCTGTGGATTGAAGAAAAGCCACTGTTCTTCTGACTGGATGAAGGCCTCTGTGATGGCAGCAACTGGAGGAGGGCCAGGTGAAAGTCAGCCCGCAAGCTGGGCCTCCTACTCAAGCCTGCATCTCCCTGGTGATCCGTGGAACTCTCTTTATATAGATAGCTGTCCATATCCAGTTTCTCTCCCATGCAGCCTGTTTCGGTGCACAGCAGAAGTCTTGTGGTCTCTTCACTCAGCTCTCTTGCTGGAAGCCCAGCTCACTCTGCACTGGTCTCCTAGTACACTAAGCTAAATGCAGCCCACCACGTGGACTTTCCTCCAGGGTCAGAATTTGCCTAGCAGCAGCACAATACAGAAATACATTACTCTCAGGAGCAAAGTACCTTACTATTCTTTCTTTTCATGCTGCCCATCTGTCCCAAGGATCCTGGCTGCTCAAAGTCTCCCTACTCATGGGTTCCTGGCTCAGGTGATTGGTTTCCCTGTTCTTCAAAGCACTGGTCTTTGGTGTACCCTGGCCATTCCTGCACACTCTGTCCATCTCCTCTCCGCTGGGTCAGGTGGTGGGGCTACAGTCCCACCAACAGTAGCAGCCAATCAAAATCTTCATTCCCCATTGCAGGGGCGAGCATAGCCTGAGGTTGGTTAAGGCCTTCCTTCCCACCTCCTTTCTCTTCATTGCTCTCTCCAGCAGGGAGGGAGCAGCCAGCTGTGTGAAAGGCTTGTCATCCTGCAAGGAGACTTAAAAGGTGTTGCCAGACAGCACCACTAAATATTTATCATGTGGTACATTCATTATTTTTCATGAATATATGTAAATTCATTGATTTTCTTCTGAAGTCCAGCTAGAGTAAAACAATGAGTATGCTTTAATGTCCCCTTCCTCAGCTGCATGTACTCACCTTTTCTCTCCTACTGCTCCATTCAACCTCCGAAAGCTAAAAAAAAAGGAAGCCCTGTGTAAGCTATGAGTGGCATTGGTAGGTAACATGTTAAAGCTGGTAATGAGGGGAGTTTGTACTTAGAGTGGCTGTCACTAAAACAAATCCTCAAAGTGTTCCTTGAAGAAATTTAAGTGTACAATCCAAACGCACATGTTCCTGCGTTAAAAATGGCTGTGTGTATAAGTGGGTGCTGCAGCGAACAGAATCAGCAAGGGAAAATGTCACCAGCACACTGAGGATCACCAATATGGGTCCAAATGTTTTAATGAACGATCACATAGTTACAGCAAGGCAACGATTCGGAGTCTCACAGTGACCATGCCTGATGAAGGGGTCCTGCGAGACTCTGAAACGTTGCCTTGCTGTAACTATGTAATCGTTCATTATAACTTTTGGACCCATATTGGTGATCCTCAGTGTGCTGGTGACATTTTCCCTTCCTTGAAGAAATTTGACACACTGAAAGAGTTGATTTCTGAAAATTTTTCAGCAGGCAATTTCTCCTTACTACAGCAGCGATTAATGGTAGGTATATGGGCAAATAGATAAGAGCACCTATACAAGGAATAATTTGTTTTAGAAATTAAGTTATAGTGCTTCAAAAATATTACATTACATAACATATCACATTACCCATATATAGCTAAGATATCAGCATAACATGGCCATAAGTGCTATGATTGCGTTGTATTTCATTTTTTTTTTTTTATTAAAAAAACTGCATATATTTCGCAGGGAAAAGGCAAAGCAGAAAAACAGACTACTGTACATGAAAACTGTCCATGATGGCAGGTGTTTTAATGAATGTTCATTCAACATGCGTTTGTCCTAGTTGTAGGTAATAAATATAATTTTCTCTTACACTGAAAGCAGTCTAAGACTGCAGCAATCAATGCTACTAGTTCTTCGACTGTTTGAATAAAATTCACTGCTACAAGCTGCTTTAGCTAAATGCTCACCATCTTCAGTATATATACAGTATACCCACAGCATTGTAAATAAAGGACTTTTCTGTGAGTATGTAAATCATACTTTACATAGGTATGAATGTGACATAATTATGATGAAAATGTCTTTTGCTAGTCGTGGTCACACCTGCTATTTTTAAAATCATTTTACAGTGTTATTTGAATACGCTTCTTCACAGGTGTCCTTTATGAACAAGCTTTAATGTGGTTGTGTGGAACTGTGGTAAAGTCTCCCTCCCCACATTGTTATGCATTGAGTTTAATGTTATGGGGTACATTTGTAGGGGTTAAGTGCTGGCGTGGAGGAGGAGTAAAGGGATTCATAAAAATCTTCAGTTTTAAACCTTCCTAGCGGTAATCCCAAGTGTGGCTCTGGGTTAATTTTCAGTACCAAAAGCGGTAACCCCGAGCCACGCTGGGGATTACTCCATAGTGCTTCTCCTGCTTCCCCCCCATCCCGATTCCTAACTTGTCCTGCGATCCCGCAATGTCCTCCTGCTGTGTCCTCCGGCCGATGCCGGCATCCATTTTCCAGGTTCTGTTCCCTGCGAGCGTCAGTATGCACGGGGGCGGAACCGGCAGGAAATTCAAAAAAGTTAAAATATGACACACACAATACATTGTAATCTGTTAGAGTTACATTACTGTATGAAACCATGTCACCTAAATGTTGTCCCTAGTGCTTTGTCCAGTGCCCTGCCTGCACTTTTACTGTTCTTTATGCCTGGAAACTTGAGAACGTCCATGGCATCCAAAAAGCGTCCCTTTAGGTCAAAAGCGGTTTTTGTCCAGCTAGAGAACAGTGATAGTGAATTAGAATCACTTGCAGAATTGAGCGATAGTGATTTGTGGGGAAATTCGTCATCAGACACTGATAATATTGAATTAAATGTATTATTATATTATTTTTTTATATAATTATTTAATAAATGATATTTTATGAATTTGTATGTTTATTATACCCGGGATGTTTACTAGACTTTTGTTTGGACAAATTTAAGTTTTTCCTAAGAATTACAGGCCTACAATATAAAACAACAAATTTCCATGCAAAACAATGTACCACTTTGACATTCAAAAATATTGATTAGTTAGACCGCCATGGAGGTTAAGGTCATGTCTTGGAACCCACCCGTTAAGCCCTGCTCCACTCTACCGAATTACTGAAGGTAGGCCTGAACTGTACCACTGGATCACTGGTCTCCACTCCCCAAAGAGACACCACAGAAAGTCATGTCAATAAATAAAAGGTGTATTAAAAAGGTATATAAAAGCAGGCATGTCAAACTCAAAGATAACAGTGGAAAAAGTGGGAAAGGAATACATTTGTGTAATACGGGCCACACCTATTTATTTTGTGAAGAATTTTACAAAACTTTAGTTATTCACATTATGATAATATGTGTAAACTACAATATTTATCTATGAAACATCTTTTCAGACATTCAGCTGAAAAAAAATGATGTACGGAAGTGTAGCTTTTATCAGTTGGAGCCACTAGGAGCTTAAGTTATTGTGGATGCA